TTTTTCTTAATAATTGGTCTTTGGTGTTGTGGGAGCTTTGTTGGCGCAGTGGTTAAAGCATAGGGCCGCTAACCATAAAGTCGTGGGTTCGAACTCACGGAGAAAGATGAGGCTGCCTGCTTCCGTTAAGATTTACAGCATTGGAAACCCTATGGGGCAGTTCTACTCTGTCTTGTAGGTGGCTAAGAGTTGGAATTGACTCGATGGCAGTGGATGGTTTTGGTGTAGTTAACTTCACTGCGCGTATTTAATGGGAAATGTAATACGTGCAAATGTAATACGTGCAAAGTGTGGTTGCACCTTAACATTACAGTTCAAGATGAAAATACCAGAAAGAATGAGAGAAAATAAGGACGGATCTGCTGTGTGTGGGGGGTGCCTGCCACCTTTTTTCTCTTACCATTCTTTTTCATAACATCCCAGGTAGCACTATAGTGCGAATTTGGATTCCTATTTTGTAATCTTCAATCCGAATTCTTAAATTATTGAATGAGTGGTGAAGTGGAAAGAGCAATGGCCTGGAAATCAGGAACTTTGCATCTAGTCTTAGCTTCTCAACAGAGCTGTGCATCACAAATTTTTGGGGCCGCAGTTTTCTTATTTGTGCCATCAAATCTTGTAGTTCATGCTCTAAGTCCAGAATACAATAATTTGAAGTTAACAATGGTCTATTTCTAATGTTTTCTGTTTGTTTGTTTGTCTTTTGTTTCCAACAGCATGCCAAAGATGGATATAGAACACTGGAAAGAAATACTATCTTCTTGCACTTCATGAAGCAACTTTATTTTTAAAATAAAAAATGTAAACATTTGTGAACCTTTTTTCAAAAAGGGAAGGAGTATAGAGTTTTCTTGTTTGCCATTTAGTTTACTGGGTCAGGAGTCCTGGTGATGCAATGGTTAAAGTACTCAGCTCCTAACCAAAATGTTAGTGGCTCAAACCTATCAGCTGCTCCATAGGAGAAAGCTGTGGCAGTCTACTTCTGTAAAGATTTACAACCTTGGAAACACTTTGGGCATTTCTACTCTGTCCCACAGAGTTGGTGTGTATTGGAATTGACTCAATGGAAATGGGTTACTGGGACAAGAAAACTGGTTTCTCAAAACCAGCATATTAGTGTTTTGGAGCTGATACTGTCTTATGAAAACCTATGCTAGTTACTTGGTATAACCACAAAGCAGAAAGATCATTATGGGTTTCTTTGGTCTTTACTGGGCCTATGTGAGAATGCATGGGGGTGTCTAAAAACAACTAAGTTTGGGTAAAGTATGTAAGACCTTTACACTTCTTACACAGTGTACTTTAAGTATAGAATATAAGTTTCTATTGACAAAAATCTCATTTATGGAATACGTTTGTGAAGGAAAAACCCTTTTGAATAGAACTTAGTGATAAATGCCAACCATATCTAAAAATCAAGAGTGACTGACCAAGTCCCTTGTTACTTTTATCTGCAGGGGTGCTTTCTAGAGTGCTGCGACTAATAGGGAGCTGCTGTGAAATCACGTCTCAGTAAATTTAATAGCTCCATATTAGCATAAGAACATTCACAAAAATTATTTTCACAGAAAGCTATTTTTACTTTTTATCCCATTTTACTGTGGCCATTCTGCTTTATTATTTCAACTCTGTGTGTGTGTGTGAGAGAGAGACAGAGAGAGAGAGAGTATATGTGTGTGAGAATGCAGTACTCAAGGACTGAATTATGGCTCTCAGAGATTCATCCCATCTGGGCTGTAGTTTGCTGAAGCTTTCTAGTCACCATCCTCCACTGAGGCTCAGAGTTGAGGAGCTTTGAGACAAGATAGGTTTCTTGAGGCACATGCTGTCCCCAGAGTGTTGAAATGTGCTAGGTTAAGCCTTTGAGTTGTGATAGATCTAGTTCTGCCTGTTTAGGACTATGCGTGCACCACTCTGCTTTCCTGGTGGACCTGGTCTTTGCAGTGTTGATTCCTTTTTTCCTGTTCCTTCTCTGCAGCACCCTGACACACTTATCCCCTGCTCCTGTCTCACCTCAGTGTTCTTGTCTTCCCTGTCCCTCTGGACATGTGCTACTCACCCCCAAATCTTGTCTATGTCCTTATGTTTTTCAGCTACCCCATCCCACTCATAGTCTTTCCTTCTGCCTACTGCCTCTTTATGTTGTGCTTGTGTGTCCCAGCCCTTTTGTGCAATTCTACTTGAATTGGGCAAATTCAAGCCTTCCATCCTTTGCCTTCCTTAAATGTTTTTTTTTTTTTTCCTGAAAATTCTGTCTTGCATGGAGTTGTTACTCTTTCCATATTAGCCAAAATTGGCAACCAAGAGTTTGGGAGCTAGGCCTTAAATGCCAGTCACGTACCCTAGAAATGATAGACTATTGACTTACTGAAATGCATAAGCCCCCCACTTGTCACTCGTATTTGATCACAGCAGCTAGCTGTCTTGGCCAGTTTTCTGACCCTGCCTCCCTTCCTGTCCTATATTGAGCACCTCGTATCTTCTACCCCATTCTGTATCACAGCAGCCATAGTCTGGACCTGTTGTCACAGGCTTGGACCTCATTGTTACATTGTACTTAGCACCTTTAGTCTATGGGTAAAACTTGCTGAGGACAGCTCCCATCCTCCATATCTCCCACTCTGCACTTACAGAACTGCCCACTCTGGTGGTCTCACCTTCCAATCCACCTCATCAATCATCCTGGACTCCCTGATCAGCTTAGACACCATCCTCACTATCCACCACTGTTTTTGTCCTTTTGGGCCACCACACTGTCCAGAGATAGACACTCCACCTTCCTCAGTTGGCCTACTATAAATGGGTTCTAATTGTAATTGCACCTCTCTGGTTTCTCAACAGTGTTTCTCTACATTCCTTGAATTTCCAGTGTACATCTCTCTTCTAGTAGATCAGTTTCAACCATAAGAGAAGATAAAGGCCATCAAGAGGGCAGTCCTTCATCTTTCCTCTTCCTAACAATAGTTCTGTTTAGAGTACTGGTCTTCAGTGGGGCTGTAGATTGTAATAATCTGGAGAGCTTTGAAAAATACTAATCCTGCATCTCACTTCTAAGACATTCTGATTTATGTAATTTAGAGTATGGCCTGGGCATTATGGTTTTCAAGGCTTTCCAGGTGATTGTGATGCTGAGTTGAGGATGAAAACTGGTTTTGAGGTTCTGTTTCATTAACTTTCCTTTATCAGAAAAGAAGACAGGTCCTATGCAAGGGTGACTCCTCTCTGGCCTCAGTTTATTAATACATTTAATATATTTTATAGCACTCAATATTTTCTTGTTTTTTATTATAAACATTTTTAATGGAAATATTGTGTCTATTAAGTGAACTTTCCTCTTAAGTAACATGAGCCATAATGGAGAAATTAAAATAAAGACATAAGCTACAACAAAATAGACAATATTAAGTGTTAGCAAGGATATGAAAAACAAAAACTCATGTGCTGCTGGTATAGTATAAATTAGTATAACCATTTTTGGAAACTAGGCACTATTTTATAAGGCTAAATATAAACATGTCCTGTGGCCCAGAATCACCAAAAGATGTGCCAGGGTATTAGCACTATTTATAATAGCCTTAAACTGGAAACTACCCAGATGTGCAACAACAGTAGGAAGAATGAATATATTAATATTTCGTACAATGAGATACTAGAGAGCAATAAGAATAAACTTTAGCCACATACAACAATATAGATGCATTTTGTGAACATGTTGAATGAAGTGAGACATGAGTATACAATGCATGATTCCATTATAAAATCCAAAAACAAACAAATTTTTGCTGGTAGAAAGTTTTTACTTGTAGTGGTGATGAGGAAGTTCTTAATTTGGGTGATGTTACACGGGGGCTGGGTTGTGTGTGAAAATTCAGTAAGCTGGACACTTATGATTTGGACACTTTTCTCTATGTATGTATTGAAAAAGTACCGAAAGCATGGTGGGAATATGGCAGCCTAACCTGTAGAATCAACAGCTGTACTGAAGACCATTGTGTGATTCATCATTTGGAAGGTCAGCTCAGATCATCATTCTTCATTCACATCCAATCTTAGTAGAGTTGGATGTATAGAATGCAGTTCTGTTTTGGGAAATGTTATTACAACTTCCCTAAGAGTCAATGTCCTGGGTGATGCAAACAGTTAATATGCTAAGCTGCTAACAGGAAAGTTGAGAGGTTGCAGTCTATACAGAGGGAACTTGGAAGAAAGGCTTGGCAATCTGCTTCCAAAAAATTAGTCATTGAAAGCTCTATCACCCACAGTTCTCTGATGCACTCAGTGGCCAATGAGTCATAATAACCTAGAGGGCAACTGGTTAATAAGAGTCAATGTAAAATATAAATTCCTCACACACTTGGTGTAGAAGAAGGTAGGAATTATTCTCACAGAACTCAAGATAGGCAATGTGCAAAACGAGAATGAAATGAAACTTAAGCAGTATCCCAAATAGCAAAGAATTTAAATTGTCTTTTGGGGTCCCAGTGTGCACCAGAACGATGTGTCCCCAGGAAGGCCATATAGGAGACTGAGTCAATGGGAGTTTAAGATGCTCAATTTGTATCTGAAGGTTAGCAAAATTGGTATCGGAAAATAAATATCACGGAACAGCACCCATACCATAAAACAGCAGAATGTAGTGATACTACTGTTGTATCGTGGGACGTGTCGTTTCCGATGTCGTGGAATGTTCGCTCTCATTCCGCACCCAAATCCTGTGGAATTAGCGAGGGAAAAAATGACTCCATGGGCAGTGACCCTGAGCCGAGCGCTCAGGGCGTGCGGCGTCAGAGGGTGGGGGCGAGGGGCATAGATAGGCTGGGAATGGATGGGTGGGGGTACTACAGGGATTGCCCCGACACTTGCCTGCCAGGCCACCGGGGCAGGTTTGCCTGCTCTGGAAGGCAGGCGCGCAGCGATGGCGTCACCTTAGGGCGCCGCCTCCTTGGTTTCCCTGGCGACCGGTACCCCGTCGCCACAAGTTGGGCACCGCGGTGAGGGAGATGCTGGCTAGACGGCCGCGCGATCCCCTCCAGGCCCTGCACCGCCGCAGCCAGGAGCTGAAGCAGCAGGTATAGTTTGGCTTTTCAGCGAGGGGACCTGGACAAGATGAGGTGGCACAGATCTGGCGGTGGGCCAGAGATGGGGGTTCAATTTCACTGACTGCGCTTTACTTGCCGTAACCCCACCCTAATCATTGAAGTCTACCCTCAATCCTTCTAACTTCCCAAGTTATAACTCCTCCTTCCCATCGCCCCAGCACCAAACCCTTACTCTAAAGCATTGAGACTCCCAACCCAACTCCAACCACAAGCTAAACCTCGCGAAAATCGTGACAACACCCACCAGCCCTAACAAGTCCCTCAACCCACCACGCCTCCAAATCCACACTTTTAACAATTACCATTTTCAACCCAACTCTGCGCCCAACACCTCTCTCCACGCCATGGCCTCTTTCCTTAGGGCATTCTTCCAGTAAAGTCTACCTGTTACTGCTTCACGTTAGTTCAAGCGAAGTAAGTGTCAAAGAGTAGTCTTAACATGTAGGAAGAACACTGAAATCCTAAACTGAGCAAAAGACATGAACTAAAGAGGAAAGACAAGTGACAAAAGAAAAGTTACTGTAAAAAACTAATCTAATAATTGCAAAGGAAATAAAATATAACAGATTTTAAATCACATTACTCTGTGCTAGGGAGGGTTGATGAATCAGGTCCAGCATTTCCGGAAAGCAGTTTGACAAGATGTAGCAAATATTGCTGTTTCTTATCTTGATAATTCCATTTCTAGGAAATTACTATACCAAAAAAAAAAAGAAAAAAGAAAACCCAAATTCACTGCCCTGTAGTTGTCCTTTGGACTCATAGTGACTCCTCCTTGGGTTTCCAATGTGGTATCTTTACTGAAGTAGATTGCCCAACCTTCCTTCCGAGGAGTGGCTGGCTGGTGGATTTGAACCACCACCCTTCTGGTTAGCAGTCAAATACCTTAGGCACTATGCCAACAGTGCTCCAAGAATTTACTATATGTAATAATAATAACAAATTTAAAAAGGAGCTCTAGTGGCTCATTGGCTAAGGCATGTGGCTGGCTGCTACCCAAAAGATCAGCAATTGGAATCCACCAGCTGCTCTGTGGGAGAAATATGAGGCAGTCTAGTTCTGTAAAGTTTTACAGCCTTGGAAACCCTATGGGGTAGTTCTGTGCTGTGTTGTAGGGTTGCTGTAAGTCAGAATCAATTTGATGGCAGTGGGTTTGGTTTTAGGTTGGTTTATCTTTTCCACATAATTATAGAAAAGAGACCAAAAGAGCTGTGTGCCTCTTTTGTGGGTACCTTAGCAAAGTTACATGTAATATTTGGAAAAGTCAAGATACAAAAACTATAATAAACTAATTTAATATATTCGTACAATGAATACTACTCATGAATGAAAAGGAATAAACTAATGACACATACAGCAATATAGAAATATCTTAAAGACATGATGTGTGAAAGAAAGATTACATAAAAGAGTACATACTATATGAATCCATTTATGTAAAGTTTAATAGCAGGCAAAACTTAAATTATGGTGGAAAAAAATTAGAACAGCTTTGTCTCTGGAGGCATGGGGTGGGGATTTACTAGAAGGGGTATGAGGGAACTTTCTGGAGTGATGGTACTTTTCTATATCTTGATAGAAGTATGGGTTACACAGATGTACACATTTGTCAAAACTCAGTAATTCTTCAGATTTGTACATTTCGTTGTATGCAAATTTTACATCAAATATGAAACTTTAGTGGTATCCATGGAGCATTACTTAGGAAGAAATGTATTGATGACTGCAATTTACTTTGAAATGCATAAAAATGAGATAGATTGATGCATAGATAAAGGATAAATAGGTGATAAAAAAGGTATAGTAAAATGTTATTGGTACGATTTAATGACAGATACAGTCTGTGGGTGTTCATGGTAAACTTCGAAGTGAATACTCAAACTGAAATTAAACGTGTTCATTGTAAAATATTGGGAAAAAAGAAAATTGAACTTTTTTTTTCTAAGGTGGTATGATTAACAGTACAATAGTTTAAACTGTCTCCATTTATTGTAGGTTGATAGTTTGCTTTCTGAGAGCCAATTGAAAGGAGCTCTAGAAGCCAATAAAAGGCAAGATATTTACCAAAGGTAAAGCATGTTAAATTATTTAAAGTTTTTTTTTTTTTTTTTTTTT